AAAATTAATAAGTAAGTAAATAAATAATTACAAAATAATTATCTATAGTATGATCTCATTTTAAAAAATCGGCACACATATATGCTTTAAGAAGTCTGAAAGAATAAATGCTAAAATATTAACAGCATTTATCTCTGGAGGAGACAGTTATTTTTGTATATCTGTCATTTCTGATTTTCTACAAGAAGCATGGATTACGGGTATAAATTTTCAAGAGGACAAAGATGCTAACAATATATCAGTAAATGAAAACACAGATTGCAAAACAGTATGCACTGTATGACACCAAATTTGTAAAACAAAAAGATACATTAAATTTATCTTTAAATTTATGTATATTAGATATTCCATAAGAAAGCAAAAAGGACAAATAGTAGTAGTTGGCCAGGCGCGGTAGCTATGCCTATAATCCTAGCACTTTGGGAGGCCAAGGTGAGAAGATTGTCAGGTGAGAGGATTGTCTGAGCCCACAGGTTTGAGACCAGCTTGGGCAACTTGGCAAGACTACGTCTCTACAATAAATCAAAAATTTAGCCAGGCATGGTGGCACACGCCTATGCTACTTGGAAGACTAAGGTGGAAGGATCTCCTGAGTCCAGCAAGGCGAGGCTGCCATGGCTGTGCCACTGCACTGCTGTGCTACTACGCTCCAGGCTGAGTGACAGAATGAGACTCCAATCCAAAAATAAATAAATAAACAAATAATAGTAGTTATCCCTGGAAAAGGGATTGTGACTAATTTTCTTTTTTTTTTTTAATTTTGAACACGTATTATTTTTACATGTCTTTAAAACTAATAATAACAGTTTTTTAAAAACCACAAACTGAGATTCTTAATAAGAAAAAAGGGGAGGAGGCCCCCATTTCCATGACCCCCGACTCCCCAGCATCCCACACTGCCACCCTCTCCCCATCAAGGTCTTACATTTTAGGAAGAGCAATCGTTCTGGAGAGGGGCCGATTTTCAACAAGGCACCAGGCTTGGTGTTGGAGGCGCCTGAGAGCTGGCAGTTCATGTCTGTAACAAATGGTGACAGGTGAGTGCCTGGAGCTCACTGAGCAGCACAAAGAAGACATACTAAAAATCCTGCCCAACTGGAGATCTGAATAACTGCTCTCCAAGAATCGCATGCAAATTTAAGCAGGAAATGCAAATCTGCAGCGACAGAAAAATTCCAGGTGAGTAAGTCGTCCTGCAGGCCAGTGTGAGCGTGTGTGAGCCCCTGAGTGTGTTCTATACTCCCAGAGGGAGGCCATCCCCAGGCAGAAATGCAAATTCTGGGGTGAAGGTGGAACACAAGTGATTGGAAAGGGCTCAGTTCTCAGAAAGAAAAAGGGTGGGAGGCTAGCCCAGTAAGAGGCACAGAGGGCTCCCTGGGCCCTACACTTGCAGTTCCCTCTGTCTGTGTGCCCCCAACTCTCCCAAGCACTCCTCGCAGGGGCTTGTGGAGATAGGTGGGCAACCTGCCCCCAGGAACCTCCCCTCCCTCCCAGAACTCCAGAACCACATGGCCTAGGTGATAACACACCAGACAGGAGGTCAAACTTCTCAAACCTAATAGGCCAAACACGTTATTCCCTCTAATCCTTAATGTTTGCTCCCTCCCTTCCTTCCTTTTTAGAGACAGGCACCCAGGCATTGGTATGATCATAGCTCACTGCATGCTCAAACTCCTGCGCTCAAGTGATCCTCCCATCTCAGCCTCCCAAATAGTTGGGGCTATAGGCATGTACCATGGCACTACTCTAATTATTTTATTTTTCGTAGAGAGGAGGGGCTCACTTTGTTGCCCAGGCTGGTTTTGAATTCCTGGCCTCAAGCGATCTTCCCTCCTTGGCCTCCCAAAGTACTGGACTTATAGGCGTGAGCCACTGTGCCCAGCCTTCAATGTTCTTTCATTTCAGAAAAAAGAGCCAGGCTCAGTGGCTCACGGCTGTAATCCCAGCACTTTGGGAGGCGGAGGCGAGAGGACTGCCGGAGCCAGGGAGTTTGAGACCGGCCTGGGCAACATGGCAAGACCTCATGTCTATAATAAATCACAAAATTAGCCAGGAGTGGTGGCGTGCACCTGTAGTTCCAGCTACTGGGAAGGCTAGCAGGTCGAGGCTGCAGTAGCTGTAAGCGTGCTGTTGCACTCCAGCCTGGGCAACAGAATGAGAGTCCGACTCAAAAAAAAAAAAAAAAAGGAAAGAAAAAGACAAAGGCAACTTCCTCCTGCTAGTTGCCCAGGCCCAAATCCTTGATCTCTCTCTTCCTCCCTCCCTGACTACTCCATATCCACCCCTGTTGACCCCTTTGCTGTGCCTTCGACATGCCTACCTCACCTCAGGCCCTTTGTATCCACTTTTTCCTCTGTCTAGGATACCTTAACACAGATGTCACAGCAACAATAATAGCTAACAGTGCTTATCATGCCTGAGCACTTTATTTGTACATTTAATCCTTACAACCCCTGAGAGGAGACTATGTCATTGTCTCCACTTTACAGATGTGGAGACAGAGGCATAAAAAAATTAGGTGCCTTGCCCAAGATGGCAGGGTTTGGAAGCGGTAGACCTGGGATGGGCACCGGACAGCCTGGCTTCAGAGGTTGTGCACATGACCCCTGTGCTCTCCGGCCCTTCAGAACCGCAGAATGCCTCCTTCAGGTCACCTCAAGTGTCCCCTTCTCAGAGGTCTTCCGAACTGTCCCGTATACGACTCCTCCTCCTTGTCACCATCTCGTCCTCCTTCTTACCTGGCTTTATTATTCTTCATAGCAGTTCTTGTCACCTGACATATACTTGTGTGTTGTCTGTCTTTCCCCCCAAAAGACTGTGAGCACCACAAAAGGAGAAGGAACTTTGTTTTGTGCCCTGCTGTGCCCAGCTCAATACGTGTTTGAAATGAATTGTAATAGCCGAGATGAATCAATCAATCAATCAATCAACGGTCAAATCTTTCTGAATATCTGCTTTGTGCCATGCCCTGCAGTGACCTCAGAGTTGGACTCAAAGCTGGTTCCTGCCCTTCAGGCATTCATGAGGGGCATGGGTGTCCATCTCATGAATACCCCCAGGCAGGACACTGGCAGGCCCTGAAGAGGGAAGGGCAGAGTGGGGATGGCCAGGAGAGGGAGTGAGCCGGGCCGGGACTGCAGGGAGTAGCTTCCAAGGTGAGCACAGCTGTGCCAGCCTTCCTGGCAGGGGTTCTGGGCCTTGGCTTCAGTCAGAGGAAGAGCTGGCCATGCCAGCCAGAAGCCTGAAGCAGGCAAGGTTGAGGTGCAGAGGGATCCCAGGAGTGGGCTGAGGGGCAGAAGCAGGGCAGTGTGGCTGGCGCGAGACAGGTCTCAGGAAGGGTCTCAGGAAGGGCAGGAGGTGAGGCTGTGGGGGTGGGTCGGCGCCAGGCCCAGGAGCTCCTGACTGCCCACCCAAGAGCCTCTGTGTGGGAGATGATCTTTGCGCTTGTCTCTGGGCGAAAGGGCGCTAGGGGAGTTAAGGACACCAAGTTGGTCCCGTGGAGACTTACTTTCCTTAAGGCGGACGTCCAGGGGCGTCTGTAACGTGCTCTGCAATGCCACCATGAGGCCCTTAAAGAAGCTCTTGACGGGCTCGAAGGAGAGGGGCATGGGGTGGCACAGCTCCCCAAGGCTCATCTGCCACTGCAGCTCCTGCTCAGTGGCCATGTATGCCCGTGCAGGCACACGGGGGCCAGGGTGGCTCTCGCTGTAGACCACGTCCCAGTCTCTACCTCCACACTCAGGAACGAAGTCACAGCAGCTCGCCCAGATCCCACCCTGGCTTCTGCGTCAGCCCAGGCGTGCCCTCAGGAGCAGAGCCCTGGAGCGACCACACAGCAGTCCCCAAGGTGGGAGACACCGCGGTCTGGTGTCGGTGCTGGCACTGGTGAGGCCTCCCTTCCCTTCCGCCACCTGCCATCCTTCCTTCCCTCCATGTTCATTGAGGCCTTCTCTGTGCTAGCCTCACGGAGGGAGGAGTCTGGCTCTGATGGGCTGACACAGGAGCCCCTCCCTGTGAGGCTTCAGTCTCCCAGACACAGTGATGGGGTCTGCCTCAGGTACAAAAAGGGTGAGGGCCAGTCCTTCTGGGAAGGAAGCCCGGAGGCTTGTCCAAGGAGGGGGTGGGAATCCATGTTTCAGGAGGGACCCTGGAAGGTTCAGCTGGAATGCTGGCTGAGGGGGTGTGGGTCCTGTTTTCTGCTTGGCTTGCACCCCTTAAATACCATCCTATGTTGTGTGGCTTTGCTAAGAAGAAACCAGAAAAGTCACTCTCCCCCGTGGTGCAGGCGTGTGACGAGACACCTCCAACCCAAAGCGTGGATTTGGAAGTGAGGGTGAATGGTAGCGGTGGCAGTGAGTGGTTCTGGGGTGGGTGTGAGCTGTGAAGACTTAACCAGGAGAGGCACAGTGGGGTCTCCACTGACATAAACCCTTGCTGTGTCTTCCGTCCTGACCCTGGCCCTCCTGGAGATCCCTGTGAACGAACTACCTAATACTGTTTCACAGACTCCTTTCTTGTGTCAAACAGTGTCCGTGGATTCTCGTGTCTGCAGGTGAGACCCTTAACTGACTTTCTGAAGGGCTGTCCTGGGCAAGGAGTTGGAAGGCGGCAGGCCGCCTCAGCTGAGTGGGCCTTGGCTGGTGCAGTGCTGCCCGGGAAGGGGTAGGCAGATGGTGCCGCAGGAGGCAAGGAGGGCGGGGACCGGCACTTGGCTGTCAGGCAGAGGCAGGCCCCACCTGGCAGGACACTGTCCATTGGGACAGGGCTGTGGGATGGCCTCCAAGCCCATCCAGTCTAGGAGGCTGAGGCTCTAGTGTCCATCCTCATTTCAGTGGGGACCAGGGCTAGGCTCACACCCAGAGGGCTAGTATGGAGCTGGCCTGGGCGTGAGGACACTAGCAGGAGGTCCGGGAAGGTCAGGGAGGAGCCCCGGGGAGGTGGGAGGGGTACTCAGAGGGCAAATGGGTGGGATGGGACTGCGGACAAATGCCAAGTGAAGACGAATGTCACCACCCGGTAACCCCAAACTCCAGCATCTAACACAGGGCCTGACCAATAGTAGGTTCTCGATACACATTTATGATAGAAAAGTGAGTGAACGAGACTTAGTACAAATGTTTCTTGCCTCTGCAGATTCAGAAGACAGCCCAACAGCATCCTGGGCCTACTTCCAATCTCCGTTCCAGGGGCATCTCTCAGACCCAGCTGTTTTTCTCCATCCCCACTGCCCCTACCCTGGTCCAGACCACCTCCATCTCTCCTCCTGGACTTTCTGGCCTCCTCTCAAATGCCCTTCCAGCCTCCAGTCCTGGCATCCCAGTCCATCCTCCACCCTAACACCAAAGTGACTTTGCCAAAGCACTGGCCTGACCATGTTAATGCTTTTATCTCTCAGTTCAAAGCACTTCCCTGGGTCCAGCCTCTTTCCAGGACAAAGTCTAAGCCCCATGGCCTGCCACATAAAGTTCCTGACCTTCAGATCCAGTGGCCTCTCTCAATGCCCCCTCCCTTACAAACCCATCCTCCTCAAGCTGGCCTGAACCCCAGGTCGTTCTCCAGCCTGCCAAGCTCTCACAGGTGCACAGTTCCATTTTGCCTGGGATATTCTTCTGCTTCGTCCCTCTGTATATACACTCAGTGAGCTCCTACTCATTTTCCAGCTCCACCATCACCTCTTCCTAGAAATCTTTCCAGGCTGCCCCCACCCCCAGAGAGTTAGACATTTCCTAGACACCTTTTTGCTAGCTTGCCTAAGCTATATTGTAGATAACCGATTCTGAGCATGTCAGCTATGAGCTCCTAATGTTCAGCGGAGGCCTGGCTCAGAATGCGTTGAGGAGTAAATAAAAGAGCAAATAGAAGGAAGGATGATGAATGATTCACATCAGTAGCTTTGGCACGAGATAATCTTTAAAAAAGAGAGACAGATGTGAAAGTCCTGAAACTGATGACGCAAGGATAGCATTCTTCTCCATGGAAGCATTCCTTTGTATTAGCAATCCTTAAAAATTACCATGATTTAAAAAGAAACAGGCCGGGCTCAGTGGCTCAGCCTGTAATCCCAGCACTTTGGGAGGCCAAGGCGAGTGGATTGCCTGAGCCCATGGGTTCAAGATCAGCCCAGGCAACTTGGCGAGACCTTGTCTCTACAATAAATAAAAAAGTAGCTGGGCGCTGTAGCATGCCCCTGTAGTTCCAGCTACTTGGAAGGCTGAGGTGGGAGGATTGCCAGAGCCCAGCGGGTCAATGCTGGGGTGGCCATGAGCGTGTGTGCCACTGAACTCCAGTCTGGGCAATGGAGTGAGACTCCAACTCAAAAAAAAGAAAAAGAAACAAACAAACAAGTGGACGGCTTTGTGCAGCCCATCCCTCTTAAAGTACAATACCCACTGTGCCTAGGAGTGCACTTCACCCAATTTGGCTGAAATAGTTAACACAATGAGACAAAAGTTAGGTACTGTGGCTCACGCCTGTAACCCCAGCACATTGGGAGGTGGATGCAAGAGGACTGCCTGAGCCCAGGGGTTCGAGTCCAGCCTGGGCAACTTGGCGAGACCTCATCTCTACAATAAATCAAAAAAATTAGCTGGGCATGGTGGAGCGAGCCTGTAATTCCAGCTACTTGAAAGGCTGAAGTGGAAGGATCACCTGAGCCCAGCAGATCGAGGCTGCGGTGACCATGAGCATGCCACTGCACTCCAGCCTGAGCAATAGAGTGAGACTCCGACTCAAAAAAACAAAACAAAACGAAACAAAACCTATGAGATACAAGCTGAACTGACTGAGGCCACAGAAAGGCGCAAGAGTGGAGATACCCAACAGGGGACTAGCTTGGCTGGTTTTGTACTGGCTGATTTACTCATCTGCCTTGTTTCCCAGCCAGAGCCCATGTTGATCTGTGGTTAGATTCAGCGCCACCTTTAGTTTACCCTGCCTTGTCTCACAGCCTTAAAAGTGTCTTATAGAGGCCATCTAATTCTGCAAGATTTTTCTTTACAGTGAGAAAAATGAAGTCAAGAGAAAACTAAGCCGGGCTCGGTGGCTCAGCCTATAATCCCGCGCTTTGGGAGGCTGAGGTGAATGGATTGCCTGAGCTCGTGGGTTCGAGACCCACCTGGG